TTCTATTTCACAGAAACCACAAATGCAACTCTGTGTGAAAGGTGTAGTAGTCATGACAAATTATAAAGCTCTAAACCCATAACATTGAACCTAGGATGTTCCAGAAGATTGTTCTGCAATCCAGCTCAGAAAGAGTAATTTCTGATTTTTCAGTGATGGAAAAATATGAAAAACGTGAAAGGCAGAATGGCAAATATCTTTAAAGTTGACATTTCAGGGCCCTGACAATAAATATTTTTGTAACTAAGTATGTGACTTTGAGATAATGGTATTAATATTTGTTTAAATTATTATAGCATGAGGTTGCCAAGTAAAAAAGCAAGGAGCACTCTCATAAATTCTTAGAAAAAAGACAGTGATTAACTGTACTTGCTTCTTCTTCTGGCAATAGAAAAATAAAGCCTCTGTTGCTCTCAGCAGTGCAATTTTCTTATGCCAAAGCTATCTCTCCAAAATCCTTTCAATATGCAAAAGTTAACTTCTCCTCTCTCCATTAAAACATATGAAGAAGTGTATGAAAATATTACAGCTCAGTGAGTGACTTCAGATCATGAACACGCTTGGAACTTCACTGAGGACAAAAACTACTGGTTTGCCTTTTGTGTGAGCAAAGTATTTGCCCAGTTGCTCACAGAATGCCATGGTACTAAACACTCTCAGTTTTTTGAATTCTGTGATTAGGTATTAGTTGCCCTTTTTTTAACCTTTTTACAGATCTGAAGATCCTGTTATTTCTGAGTTTGATTCTGCTTCCCATAATGTTATTTGAGAGGTAAGATCTAGAAGGTATTATCATGTTGGGAGAAATTTTATCTTAAAAAGGTATTAGGTTTTATTTCCCCCTAGGTTTTATTACTTAAAAGTAATAAAAACTAGGGAAAAAAAAACCTAAAAGCAATGAAAACAAAAACTAGATGTTCTTTTCTGCATGATTCTGAAAGGCCCCATTTTAAAAAATATCCATGTATCTACTCAGATAAGAAACTGGAACAAAAAATAGTGAATGAAACCCAGACATTTTCCGTAGCTTGGGGAAGGACATTTTTGTTATTCAGCATCAATTATGCAAAGAGAACTACTATCTGAATAAATGGTTTGATATTTTCAGATATAATGGAAAAACTTACCTGCTGAAATTTTGCAAGCATAAGAGAAGAGCTGAGCTACAGCATATTCTAAAGTCACCTAGAGCACCCTCACCTCTAACAAGAGCTGTGAGGCAGGAGCAGACTTGCACCCTGCCCCACTGAAAGTGCCAGAGGTGCTTGTAATCCATGCCTGCTGTAAAAGGTAGTATATGCATATGTAATTCTGTGAACAAGTCTGTGAAAGTGTGCACGGGGATTAAAAGTTCTGAGATGAGCAGCAGAGGAGTGCTTAGAAATTATTGGTTGCTTATTAACATTTTTTTGATGTCTAATGTTGCTGTCACTGCTGTATTGCTGCTCTTGAACTGAACGTGTAGCTGGTTGATTGCTGATTAACTGTAATTAATAAATCAATAAACCACTAATTCTTTATTTGACTTAAACCACAGACCTGAACAGTTTTTCCATGTGACAATCATTAGGGAATAAATCATGAAGAGGAAAAAATGTTTGGGATTTTTTTTCTAAGAATACAAGAACACAAAGACATTAAATGAAAGTACCAAAAGATGGATTCAAATAAAAAAAAAAATGTTACTTCTTCAAACGATGTATAAAGAAATGTAATAAATATTTTCCAAAATATGTTCCGGATGCTAAATGGATTAAAAGTCAATTGAAAGAAATTTATGGAAGGCAAATGGCTGTTAAATACAATACTTATACCTACTGAACCACAAATTATTGATTATACAGAATGTATTTGGTATTTGATTATACTGAATGTATATTAGTATATTGAATGTATTTGATACATTCAAATGTACTATTTGAATAATTACACAGGAGAAGTAACACTACTTGTTTGTGCTATTCTAATATTTTTTTCCTAGGCATTCACCAGTAGCCACTGGTAGAAATAAAGATGTCTGAGCAGTTGTCTCTTGTTTTCTCTCTCTATTGCAGGATTTTCTTTTCTCTACTAAAAACTAGTTCAGGAGCATTTCTGCCATGTTGCTTCAGTGCTGCACATAAATCTTTCTGTATGCCATAATAAATACCAAGGACATACTGAATTTTCACAAAACCACAAGTAACAAACTTTATAAACCAGTATGAGTCAAACTAAATAAAATTCCACCCGTTATGCTAATGGAGTTCCAAAGTCCCATCAAAGCCCAGAAACGTTGGCACAATGTACAATTTATGTAACGATCCAGTGGAAAACCCTTAGAAGTGCTGGAGTAATGCTCTGCTTTTCCCCCACCACAGGAATGATCCACAAAACTACATAAAATTAGTTCTCAAATCAATGAATTTTCATCCAGACAAAACAAAGAAGAGGAGATGCCCATGAGCTGGCTTCCCTTCACTCTCAGAAAGCTCTATGCTATCAGCACATGGTAAGAGAGGAACAACAAATGGTCTCCATTTGCCTAAGAATTAAGATTAAAAGCTACAGCCAAACAGCGAATGAAGAGCCATCTCTATGTGGAATTGGAAACCACTTGCTTTAAAGTGCTCTCACCTTTTTCTCCCTCTCTCTATGAAATACTTTTAACAAGAAATAACAGACTTTTCACAGCACAATTTTCTTCCAAAGATGAATTCTAGAATCACAAAGATGTAGATGTCATATCCAAGAAACCCAGTTTTAGGCCTATAAAAATACTTCTCAATATTACTCAAAGTTTGATCACAGTGACATCCTAATCTTTCCCAAGAAGGACAAAATAACACATCATAGCTTCACTTAGTTTCAGAAGGAAGTATTTTCACAGGAGTTCAGTGACAAAGCAGCACTTCTGAGGGTTCTGTTGTTAGAGCTGTTTTCTTGGGAAGTGCCTTTAACTGTTAAAATATTGCACTCTATCAGACTATGAAGATACTTACCTTGTTTCAAAGACACATGCTGATGTCAAGGCAATGTGTTCCAGAGAATTCCAAAGCTTGAAACACATTTCACAGGGACAAAATACAGTCACTGGATTAACTTTTCATTGTAGTTAGGCATGGCACATGACCAAAGTGATCTTACCTTCAAATGCAGTATATGGAAGGGGTGAGTAGGGCAGGAAGGATCAAACTAGACTACAATCTACTGGCAAACTACTAATCTGCTACAGGCTTTTTAGAAAATGAATTCTGGAGACATTGTATCAAAGATAGTTTAATGCCAGTATCTTACAAAACAGTATTAAAAATGTTTCATAATCCCAACATAAGTGTTGATTCCATTAACATTTTTATTGAATGACATTTACTCATTTTGATTCCTTTCTTCTCCTGTTCTCATTTTCAAATAGGATTTAAGTAACTATCTTGCTAGAAAATGAATGTCAATACTGAGTTCTGTTTACAAAAATGTCCCAGACCACCCATTAGCATAGAATTTAAGTAACAGTGCTATATGACAAGTCCCTATCTCTTCATTTGCCAGTTCAGCCCCCAGTAGTTGAAACAGTAATGCAATATCTTACAAAAATAACTTGCAAGACTTGTTTGTGTATGTTAAGGAAACTCCAGAAGTATTAACCTTGTCTTTTCCAAAAAGAATTCAGACTTTCTTGCCACTTTCTTTACTATTCCATCTGGCTTCTAGCTCTACCTCTTTTGAGAGATCACAGATGTGATTTTTTAGAAGGGAAAAGCACAGATCTCCTCCAATGAGGAGAAGCTTTGGCTCAGATACCGAAAACATATATATGCTTCACACAGCAACAGAATATATTCCCCTTCCTGAGAACCTTAGTTAGATGACTAATGTAATGCAGTGTTTTGTAGGCAGATATAGAATCTTCTGTGTACTGCACAGTATAAACAAGTAAAAAAAGTTTACAAGTGTATTTTCAAATTCTTTTCACCAAGGGTGAAAGCTAAAAATTATCCCTGAACAGATACATTCTGACTCTAACTTAAGCTAGGCCAGACTCTGAGACTTGTGCATTTGCACATAATTGTGTGCCAAACACCAAAACAAAAAGACAACCTTAAGGCCTTTGAAAAACGCCAGGCCATCACTTACCCAGGCCTGCATTTCCATTTACCTCTCATCAACTGACCCAAAATTTGGCAACTTATCTTTTCTTTAATTGATGCTGAGTACTCAAACATTTTACCAATGTATGAACAGAAGAAAAGTAGGGGGAATGAATATGGACTGACAGCAAAATTTAAAAATATGTATATTTGCTAATTTACCGACACGCCTTTCATATAAGGCACAGTAATAAGTAAGCTGTCCTGCAACTAATATTGATGTATTGCTGATTCAAAGGCAAAGAAGATTACACTGTTGCAATGTATAATTCATGTTGGCAACACAACATTACAATTTAATTAAGAAGCAAACACAGTTTACCTCCTCAGCAATTATTTTTTATATCTGTGTCATACATGATAAATCTGATTGTAAAAATGACTATATCAACAACTTATGATTTCTCTTATAAAAGCTTCCCAAATCTAAACATTTTCTTCAGTCTTTTTTGAGAAATTGGCACTTAAATGCATGATAATGTATTTTGACTACATTAGAAGTTTTTTTAAGTAATAAAAATCAACCTGCCATCATTCCAAAGTTTCCTGAAGAGGCTTAAAATGCATGTCCAGTAGTCTATTCTACTTTAGTGTTAAATAATGAGGTAGCACATTGTTCCAAAATTGTTCTGAATTATGTAAACCATTTGCTACACGCTGTTTGGACTTCATGGTTTGTTTAGAGCTGTTTGGTAAAGCAGTACTTTCTGTCTTTTCTGACTTCCTGGATTTGCTTTTCTTTTGTGGAAGCTTATTATGATAATTTTTTCTTTTATCTTTTGCTTTTTCCTCTTCCTCTTCTTCTTCCTCCTCTCCCTCATCCTCTTCCTCCTCTCCTACATCCCTTTCCTCCTCTTCTTCTTCTTCCCCCTCTCCCTCTTCCCCTTCTTCTCCCTCTTCCCCTTCTTCTTCTCCCTCTTCCCCTTCTCCTTCCTCTTCTTCTTCTTCTTCTTCTTCCTCTTCTTCTTCTTCTTCCTGCACTCCCTCTTCTCCTTCCTCTTCCTCTTCTTCTTCTTCCACTCCTTCTTCCTCATCCTCCTCTTCTTCCTCATCTCCCTCTTCTTCTTCCACTGCCTCTTCTCCCTCTTCTTCCTCATCTCCCTCTTCTTCCACTGCCTCTTCTCCCTCTTCTTCCTCATCTCCCTCTTCTTCCACTGCCTCTTCTCCCTCTTCTTCCTCATCTCCCTCTTCTTCCACTGCCTCTTCTCCCTCTTCTTCCTCATCTCCCTCTTCTTCCACTGCCTCTTCTCCCTCTTCTTCCTCTTCTCCCTCTTCTTCCTCATCTCCCTCTTCTTCTTCCACTGCCTCTTCTCCCTCATCTTCTTCAACTCCCTCTTCTTTTTCCTCCCCCACTCCCCCATCTTCTTCTATCCCTTCTTCCTCTTCTTCATTTCCCCCCTCTTCTTCCTTTTCACTTTCTCCACCCTCCTCCCCTTCTGCTTCTAGCCCTGTTCCTTCTTTTTTCTCCTCATCTTTTCCTTCCTCTTCAACTTCATCCTCCCCTTCTTCTCCTTCTTCCACTCCATCCTCCTCCCCTTCTGCTTCTGCCTCTGTTCCTTCTTTTTTCTCCTCATCTTTTCTTTCCCCTTCATCCTCTCCTTCTTCTCCTTCTTCCATTTCATCCTCCTCCCCTTCTGCTTCTGCCTCTGTTCCTTCTTTTTTCTCCTCATCTTTTCTTTCCTCTTCAACTTCATCCTCCCCTTCTTCACCTTCTTCCACTCCATCCTCTTCCCCTTCTGCTTCTGCCTCTGTTCCTTCTTTCTCCTCATCTTTTCTTTCCTGTTCCACTTCATCATCCCCCTCTCCCTCTTCTCCTTCTTCCACTCCATCCTCCTCCACCTTCTTAGTCCTCATATCTTCTTCTTCCTGTTCTTCTTCAGATACATCTTCTTCCTTCCCTGCCAATAGTTCTCTTAATTCCTTCTCTTCACCTTCTTTGTCATTTTCTTTCTCCCTTTCTTCATTTTCTTCTTCATCTTCCTTCTCATCTTCTCCTTCCTCTTCTCCCTCTGTCTCTTTTTCTTCCTCCCCCTCTCTATGTTCACCTCCTTCCTCACTCTCATTTCTTCCCTCACTTTTAACCTGTTCCTCCTTTTCTTTTTCAGTGCCTTCCTCTTTTGCATACTTCTCCATATCCTCCTTTTCTCCCTCACTCAGCATTTCTTCTTCCTTCATCAACCTGCCTTGCTCATCTCCCTGATCTTTTCCATCTTCCTGATTAACCTCTTCAACCTCCTCTGCACCCTCATTCTCACTGTCTCTCTCAGCCTGTGACTCCTCTCCTTCATGTTCTTCCTCATTATCTTTTTCCTCCTCATCTTTATCTTTTTCTACTGAAACTTCATCTCTACCTTTCTCATACTCACTGTCTTCTTCTTCCTCCCCTAGTTTACCTTCACTGTCAATTGTTTCATCTAATTTTTCTTTTTCACTTTCACCCTTTCCACTGCCTTCACCCTCCTGCTCTTGATCAGAATCCTCCCCATTCTTAATTTCTAATTGCCCATCTTCATCAGATTTAGCATCAGAGTTTGTTTCTTCCTCATTCTGGCTTTTTAAATCAGTCTCTTCTACACATTCTTTCTCATTGTTTCTAATTTGCATCTCCTCAATCTCACTGTCTTCTTTTTCTAAGTCCAAATCTTCCACATTTTCTACTGTTCTCCTTGCCCTCTGGATGCCTCTGTCTTCACTGTAGTCCTCTTCTTTTTTCCTACGCTTAAGCACATACTTTTCAAGATCGTAACTACTTTCCTCAGTTGAAGACGATGACATAGTCACAGATATTTTAAACCCTATCTTCTCTGTCTTCTCTGCACTACTTTCTTCTCCTTTGACGTGCGTTCTTTCACACTTCTCAGATTTTTCAGCCACATCCTTTATTTTGTTTTGACTTTTTATTGCTTCTCGACTTTCTTGCTTTTGAACGAGATTGTATTTTTCTACAACTAAGGAATCATCAGTCTGGGGGTGATCCCTGGATGCAGAAGGAAGTACCTCTATTTTCAGTGATTGCTTAGATTTAACAGCTTTTGATTTTTTATTGGAAGAATTTGGTTTTTCAGACAGAATTTGATTTTCAGTTGGAAGATTATAAGTTACATCCTCTCTGAAAAATTCAGGATTTTCCACATATTCTTCTTGCCTTTTCACTAATCTGCTTTTGTCCCTAGTCATTTGTTGAACACCCCTCTTCAAAGTACTAACACTTTGTGTATGCTCAGGTTTAGCTTTTGTTGGGTTTTTTTTGGCCACAGACTTCCCTACAAAGGCACTACTCTTTTCTAAATCTTGTCCTGGTGACTCTGAAAGTGAGGACTGTTTTTGTAAAGAGCCAGAGTCTAATTTTGAGACCTCCTTTGTGAAATCAGAATCCTTAGTTTTCAGCCCACCCTTACCATCTCTTTTCAGTTTCACATTTTTATTGTTCTTCTATTCCACACGAGAAGCAGAAAATTAAAAAGAAAGAAAAAAAAAGCATTAAAGACAAATGACAGCAAAAGAAAAAGGTTAGAAAAGCATCTGAACAAGAAAAGAAACAATTTGTGAGAAGGGATTATAAGGTAGCATAAAAAGTAGAATATTTCACATGAAATGAATTCACCAGTGCATATATGAGAAGAACATAACATTCTGTTAATGATTAATGTGCTACTACACCTTTCTCACTAACCCAGCATGCAAGGGAATGCAGGAAGGACTGTGCATCCAGTACCACATCCCATGAGCCAGAGCAGGTGCAATGCATGAGGTTGTTGCAAACAGAAGGAAATAAGCACAGTTCTCTTACACCTTCCTCCACCTCCCCCCTGGAAAAATCTTCTGATGCACTCACTGCTATGCTCTTTCTAAGAAGTTTGAAAATCTGTTGCTTTTCTCCTTTAAATTTTACACTTATTTAACAAATTTTGCAGAATAATTTTTAAAATCTAAAATAAAATTATAAAAAAATATAACAAAATGCCAAAAAGCTAGGATCACTTTAGGAGTGAAACAAGAAGGTAATACAAAGTATTTTAACTTCATGATTAAAACCAGTAATTTTGCTCCTTTAAATATAATCTATGGTGAATACCTGTCAGTAAAGTTTTTACTTACACTATGTCCCAAAAGACAATTGAAATCTTTTTGTACCAACAAACCAGCAGAAATGTATGTCTGTGAAATGTGTATATGATAGTCCCTTGCTCCTTAAACTAGTGAAACATTATATACTCTCATCTCAAACCCCACTGGATATGAGGAGTTCTATGTGCCTGTACAAATTCTGACTTCTTAGAATTTCATCTTAGAATTGGATATTCAGAAAATTTGCAAGAGGAGGCCTATAAAATTTGCCTATTTTTTTTTTGCCTTGCAAAAACAATGAAGTACTAGGATAACACAAGAATTGCAGATTTTTTGAACATCATTACAAGTATACATGTATATAATTAGTTACAGTACCTTCTGTTTCTGGAGTGGTGATAATTCTATGGACCAGTCACTGGGATTCAATTTCATTGCATGTGTCTGCAAAAAATAAGATCTTTATTAAAAAAATAAACATAACTAACAGGGAAAGCAGCATCAAAGCCCAGTTCTACTAAACAGAGCTATTTCATGAACATTTTAATATTATTGCAGTTAGGTTGAGACAAATCTGTATGGTCATTAAACCCTCCTATTTCACTTCCACTTCCTCATTTACTGCTTATAAAGAGAGTGGTAACCAGCCTAGATGGTCTGTAGAGACTGAAAGCCCTTTCTTACAGTCCACAAGCACATTTGAGATCCACCTTCCATCCACCACAAAGTTGAGGCTACAAATATGACACCTGATCATCACAACCTTCAACTCAACACCTAGTTTGATACCACAGCCTTGAAAGAATATGTTCAAAGAAACATTACACAGCAGAAATTTTCCTTGGAATCTCTCTTCTACATAGAGTAAAAACCCAAAAGGTAAGGCAATGTAGAATATTACTAGGTTGGTATGTGTAGTGAGATTTTGGTCATCCTTTCCCATATATTCCAAATGACCAGATAATGTTCTTTGCTGCTGTTTGTTAACTGCTTATGGTTTAATCACCATATTCTTTTTCAACACAGTTCTGGTTTCAGACTTCCAAAAATTCATATCATCAATATGACATTAAAGGTTTTCCTCCACCTGTCACACTCGTCAATAAGATATGTTGCCACAGCCTAGAAAAATTGAGGCAACAATGCTGTATCAGGTTATTTGCATTTAGATTCAAGAAGAGCAATCATTTTATTTTGCATTTTGACAAGTTTGCCTGATGGGCTTTTTTCAAATTTACTGTTTCATTCTGACAAATGTTTTAAATTTGATTCACAATAAGTACAAAACCTAAAAGGAGAAAGAAGTCTAGCTCATAAAGTGTGCAATATGTAAATAAGGCCATGCATTGTATCTGAAAACATTTTTTTTCTTGTAAATCAAGTTTTATAACTGTGAAATAAATGGTATGTACAAACAGACTGTTAAATTATTAAGTACTTTTAAGTACAAGCAAATAATAATTCCTGTAAAATGTGCAATCCCTCCAGCATAACTGACAACATATTCAGAGTTGAATCCACAGAGAGTTTCCATTCCATCAAAGGCTAAAAAAAAGACAAAACCCAACTCTCTTTCCAGTGCACTGCATTAAGGCCTGGACATGTCCTTTCTGCTGAGCAAACAAAGTTGTTTTGAAAAAGTGTAGAAGTGATAAGGTGAACATGTTTTTTAAATAAAAGAAGTATGTAGGAACAAGCTTGAGGATCACCAAATAATCAAAATGGCTGCATCACTTGGACTGCTTTAATCTCATCCTACAACATTACTTGGGAAATTATAACATATTTCAGCACTGGATAATGATGATATGAAATGCATGCCCACTTTACTTTCAGTACTTCTTCGTGTCACATAGGACATTCTGGGCTAGTCAGGAGTTCTGTACTAGGACCTGAAACATGATTTAGCTTCTTTGTCTTCCTCTGCATAAAAAATAATTGAATTATAGATTCATTATTGGAATATATTACCATATTTAGGATGTCAGTTGTATCTCCAAGGTTTCTGTCAGTACTGTCATCATCTGAATCTTCTTCTGTAGAGGCTTCACCAGGTTTACCCCTTTGATGATCATTTTCTACAATAGGGGGAAATAAATAAATAAACAAATTCCATAGGAAGAAGCAAAATAGAGCAAACAAAACACCCCACTCTTATAAAATAGAGAGTATTTCTAATTTTCTGACATAGAACTGAAGTACTGAGATTCCTCATTCCCCCATCCTAAGACACAGAAGAAACACTTCCACCCCTTTTCATCAGTATTAACATTAGAGGTTAATACTGAGACCAGCAATCAGTGCACTGTAGATCTCTGACCATTTCTGCAGGCTTTCAAAGCATAAATATTACATGGGACATAGATTCTTTTGGATAATCTTTTTAATAACTGTGTAACAATTAGACCAAATTATCTGCAGTCATGTTATGTACATTGCACATTACCCATGCAATGGATGCAGAGACAGTGAGTTTAACTCCAATGTAGCATCATAAAAATGTTCCTGTGTCATTTTCAGGTTCACCTCAAGTCCATCAGGTATAAGACTATTCCATACAGCACAAAACCTGAGGTTTTAGGCCTAGGAAGACTCTAAAGGCAATTAAAATTTCACAGTATTGCTTTCCTAGAGTGAGAAATGCTAATGGACATGCTGGCTGCTTTACAAATAATCATCTTAATTTTAACTGAATTAATTACTTTCAAGTGAGATTTGACTGTCCAATAAATCTGGGCTAACCTTTACAGAGAAGCACTGCATTCTGCACTCTTCAGCACTGCTTCTCCAAGGAAATCACACATGCCCAGGAACCCAGATAAGTCCAGATCTGCTCTAGAGAATCTGTGCAAAAGTCCAGCGCTGTATCAGTATTATGGTTATCCAGGCTTTTGCAATAGCTAGAATATTATAAATCCTTATTATCTTAGCTAATAGAGAATTTTGCATTTCCAAGTAAAGAAGAAAGGTCCTGTAAGAATTAGTAGACCTCTTCTCTTATCCAAGTTCTCTTATAGACCTTACTGTCTCTACTATTGTTCCTAACCACAGGTGCAATTCAGAAGTTGTTTTTTCTTTCACTCAAGCTTCCCCCGAATCTTTAAGCATGTTTTCCAAACATGAACACTGTGAGGCAATTTCTTGTCTGCATTTCTCAGCTTTCTGTATGCTGCCAGACACTCTTGAAGTAAGACTGAACTTAAACTTCCTTTCATATTCAAACTGAGCATCATTTACAAATGATGAGAGCTAAACCATACTTATCAGAAAACAGCAGCAAGATGTGGGGACACTTCACCTTTTTCACTGTCTCCATCTGCCACAGATTCAGCTTTAGGAAGACTTGTTGCAGAAAAACTGAATGGGGTAGTGTTGCTTGTCACAGGCAATGAAGATTTTAAGAAGCTTTTTCCCAGTGGAGGCAGAGTTCGTGCCATTCGAACAAACTGTTCTGGTGACCTTTCCTTTAGAAGATCAAAAAAATATACTGAGAATAAGGGCAGAAGAACAAAATGTAAGCAATTTCTCATATTTAATAGTAGTATTTTCTTTTAGTTGATGATACTATGCTGAACTTTTATACAAGGCAGAAAAAAATATCTTCAATATTTTAATTATTTATAGTCCTAAAAAGTGGACATAGAAGGAATTTTTTAGATTGTTTCTACACAATAATTTCAAGCAGTCTTAAAATATAGACAAAGGGCAAAAAGAGCTTCTATTTAAGATTTCTATTTAAAATGAAAAACTACTTTCTCAAATAACACTGAGATATTTAACCCACAACATCAATACATTTTTATGAAATGAATGCAGGTTTTGGTAGAGTTAGTTTTCAGAGAGGTAAGTAAAATAATCCAACTCATCATGCTACTTAAAGAAATCACATGGAATGTCTAGTGGAGATAAAGGTGAAAAACCTACTATTTTAGGTAGCTACAGGATTTAGGGATATTTTAAGCTGATTGTGAAATGTTCTCCTTATATATTTTATAAACTATGAACTTGTTTAATATATTCAAGGACTCAGAGGGAACAACAAAAGAGTCAGGTTCTTGGCACCATTTAAAAATATAAGATATTTTTAAAAATGCAACAGAAGAGGTTCTCTATTTTGCAAACCCAATTTGAATTTTTTTCCCAGAAATAAACAAGGAAAATCTGACCAATACCTCTTTTTTTCCTGCATCAGCTTTTGGGATCAGAGTAAATATTAATTTTTCTTTTTATACATTAAACTTAAACACTTATCTTAAGAAGATGTATTTATCTGCTGGGTACATGCTGTGATTTCTAGCTTTAAAAATGATTTTGTTTCCTAAAAGAAGTATGGCAGTTCTAAAGAGCTCTGGATTTACCCTCTCCCGACGTCGCATTCGTGCTGCTGACAGCTGTAAGGTGTCTGCCAGTACAAAGTCCCCGCTCATTTTAGGGATAGTAGCAGTCAAAGGATTCTCATATAAATCTTCTAAGGGTATTTCTTCAGATCCTTTAGGTCTTGGAGCAGCAAAAACCAGCATGTGACAACCACCACAAGCAACCTACAGCTCAAAAAAGGGTCTGATTATTTCAAGTATCAATAGAAGGATGGCATTTTCTTATAATCATCTCAAGGGGCTTGGATTATAAGAAAAATGTAATAAAGCTAAGACTACCAAATTGCTTCAAATTTTGCTCCTAATTACATCAGCAAAATAAAAGTACTTAATTATGTTTATTAATGACTAGTGATCTATCTTCACTTCTTCTTAGCTAAATACAGTATATTTGTATTGAACAGAACAACGGGCAGACATTTCCACTGATTTTCATGAGATTTGAGCTACTTATTTTGATACAAGTCAAATGTGGTCAGTACTGATAGTTTCAGTTACACAAATCTAGTTGTTTTATCACAAAATCCACGAAATGTAAAGCAAATCATAATCTCTCCAATATACATAGTATTATTACATAAAGATCAGAGGTTTCACTTTTTAAAAAGTTTAAAAACTTCACTTCTGATTAGACTTCCTTAAACTCTATTTCCAGTAAACAAAGAGAAGATAAACAGACTTTAGTCCCAAATTTTGCTAAATCCTGAGTTATGTTAGCATTTTTTAAGCTGAATTCTGTGACACTTATTTCTTCTGCACCTCAAAAAACAGACAAAAACAATTCCCTTAAAATGAAAGAGTATTCCTGCTTTCTCAGCCCATTTGAATTCTAAAAAGCAAAACCTCAAATATTCTAAAATATTTAAAAACATCCCACTGTACAAAAATTGCCACAATTGAAAAGGTAACACTCTGGTGTTTTCAGAAAAGATATCAATTTCCCCCTATTCCAACAATCTAAGAGTAATAAATATTTCATCTTAAAGGCTACCACAGCTCTATAGACCAAATCACTATAGCACAAGACTACTGAATAAAACCCTAAAAAAGAGTCTATATGTGCAGTTTGAACCAAAGAAATTCTAAACAGGTAAGCATATATAATTTCCTTTTTTTTTCAATTTATGTTGTCAACTAATTAAATATTAAAGAAATAAATAATTCTATAATAAGATTTAAATTCTCATTAATAATGTGTTTCATAAAAAGGTGCCTGAGAAGCATGAACAAAAGTTTTACCAAAAGCACTGTGAACTTCAAGAAATTATAACACAGAGTGGGATCAAACAGGTTTGTAAAACTCTCTTCTCCAAAGCCCAGCTTGCCATGTCGTCCATCTCCAAAAGTGAACATGAGGCCATTCTCTGTATGTGGAAAAAAGGATGTTATAACCAAGATTCAATACAAAACCAGGACAGAACCATTGCAAACAAAATAACAGGCCATGAAAGTAAGAAATATTTTTCTTCCAAAACCAAAACACGAACAATTATTTTTAGAACTTCAGCAGATGAATATGATTTTTAAAAATATGCATATTTTCAGACAAAGGACTGTTTGAGATGCAAGTCAGTCTAGACAATCTGTAAAAAAAAAAACAAAACCACTCTAACAAAATAATAAGATTTAAACTGTATAGAAAAACAAAGGTTTCTAAACAAGAATATTTGTTAAAGCAAGGCATGCTTATAAGGCTATAATTCCCCAGGAGATACAGGGTACAGAGTCATGCATGGCATGGATATGAATCAGGAATTCCTATCAAATCTGGCTTCCTCACTGGCTCAGAACCAGTACATTTGCACGTGTCTTCTGCTATTGCTCATTTTATAACAGAAGCTTTTCCAGTACAAAAGTGAGTTGCTGGAAGTTGATTTCAGATTTTGGCACTGACATACCTGCTATTACAGCAGTGTGATTTTCCCCACATGCAACGTTACGTATTTTATGCTTCTTCAAGTGTTTCACAGACTTCGGCACTGAAGATTCAAAAACAAAAGTACCATGGCCCAGCTGCCCATATTGTCCAAGTCCAAAAGTATAGACATCTGTCTCTGAAATTGTACAGGCAAAGTTAATAAAAAAACATGCTAATATATACGTATATATTTATTAGCCAAATGGAAGGCAACTGACATCAGTATCAAAAAAGCAATGTTTAATCAATTAAAAAAATGCACTAGCCCTAATCAATTACATTTATCAATTAATAACAACATATAACAAAATAAAGAAAACCAGGAAATATTTAGAAAAAAATTTGAATGGTTCAATATGCAATATATTTTCTAACATAACTGCAAAATAACCCACTGATCACAGGTACATGAGGTACCAGTTAAAAAAAAAAAAAGAAATTTACATACTGCAATTAATTCAAGACCACAATATTTACATATTCATGCATTTTCAAGTGCAATAGTCTCATCTTAATTTCTCTTTACCTTCATTTACCTTGTATGATCCTAAATTTCATAGACAAGGCCTCTTTAAACCAATACAAATTTGTATGTAAGAAGAGACTGGAACAGAAGAGGTTTTAGTATTCTGTTCAGCTACCAAATCAGCCCTGCACTAAACACAGAGAAGACTATAATTGTGTTATCTTGTGACAGAATAATCATCTTTCCACATTTATATTTTGTCTGTTTAATGGTCTGTCTGTGCCAGGAAAAAGAAGAAAAGCTTCTCCAAAGCAATAAAGATTCTTGGTGTGTCCATCCTTGGCACTCCATCACAACAGGGGAAGACTGTGAAGCTTGGAAATCTTGATGAGGTCATACTTGAAAAGAGAAGGGTTTTTTGGAAAACGAGAGTTTTTCCTGGAATTTTATTCCCTGCTCCTTTTTCTTTTGCATGTAGGCAACGAAGGAAAAGCTAGAGAACTATTATTTAAAGTACTTGAAAAATTATTAAGAAAACCTTGGAAAGATTGGGAAGGACAAAAAATATTCTATGTTAAGTAAAAAGAACTTGGGAGCAAAATATATTGTTACACCATTGTTATGAATTCAGTGCAGAACATTCCCACTTTGCCTGTAGAGATATCGGATTAAAAATGCCACCATTTTCAAAGGCAAGAGAGGAATGTGTGGAACACCAATCAACAGAGAATCTTTGCTTTCTGAGCACTTCTTTGTGGCCACTGGAACAGCAAAATAACTTTAAGTGCCACAAAAGTAACTTACACTGTGCAATCCAATTCTCACAGTAGCCACAGACTGGAGAAATACTAAAAACTAATCATGTTACCATTCCCTTAAACTAATCCTTCACTGCTGTCAGGGAAAGAGAAAGCAGAGAACAGACCAGGTTACAAATCACTACCATAGTACCCTTATACTAAACTTTCCGATTTTAAAAGAACCTTGATGAAATAGTGTAACACTACATATGGAAATGTTCTTTCTAGGAAAGGCTTTGCCCTTTCTATTCCTTTAAAACTTTGCCATATTAAGATGTCATGAATTCCCACTGTAAAAAAACTCCAACGATCTCACTTTTTTTCCAGACTGTAGATGAAGGATATTGAGTAAACCTTTTTTTTTTTTTTTACTAAATGTAATGATAAAGCTCCCTCTGCTGGAGATTCTAGTGCAAGAAAGCAACACCTTCTCAGGAGCTTTAGAAAGTAAAACAAGAAATTTCCTGTAACATTTAGACTTTCTGCACCAGAATCAAAAAACTACTCCTGAAAGACAGGAGCTTTTTCTAAGCAAACCAAAGTCTCATCTTCATTTCAGCAAATTATTTTCTCAGGATGGCTGATTCCATAAATTCTGCTTAGAAGTATTGCATTTGTCTTAACTTTTCTTTGGAAACTGGCAGATCTTGTAATTTCCAAATTATATGGCTTTATCTGATTAACATAATTACTTTGAGTGAAGTTGGAGGGGTTTTTTTGCAATATCTTTAATTCTAGCATGAAACATGCAATGTCTTCTGCATTTGTGTCTAGTGGGAGAGATTCTCAAATGTGAAAGTGCAGGAAATATTTTCTTTTCTCTCTTTCTCTGACAATGAGGAGAAAGGGGTGATTCCAAGCCAGGTTGGAGCTCTTTTATAAGAACAATTTCTTCTGCTGCTCTTACAGATCAGAGGCATCCAAACGTTGCTCCTCCTAAACTTGCTTCTTAGTCAATTAACAGGGCACAGGAAGGGAAAAACCTTGCACCTTTCTTAAGCAATTCACTGCTCTGGCACAGCAGTGAGGACAAACATCAGTAATAACCTCATTTAGCAGAAATGAGGTATTTCCTCCAAACTGTCCTTAAAAATATGTGGAAAGAGAAGTGTATGGCAAAGCAACCTCACACACTTAGTGATAAAATGACAGTGTTGAATTTCACCATTCTGAATTTGGATTTGTAAATAAGTTTGCCTACAGCATGAATCCCAAAGAGATTCATATTAACTTCTCTTTACAGTCCTCAGCCCCAGTAAGGATATGTTTGGATGAGACAGACAAAATGTAATAGAGTGAAAGGGCAGATTTCATTCCCCCTTCATTTTCTCTCTTCAGTCCCCTCCTGCACTGTGCTGCACACCTGGTTATGTGGTGATCATGCCCAGCTCAGTGTGTCAGGTTTTGGGGAGTTTTTGCTGATACAGTTTCCTGTGGAACAGTCAAGGCAGCACCAGAGTAGTATAAGGGAAGAGGATGGACATATGTCCACAGGAGAATGAGAGATGCCTCCAGGGCACCTGGGAATCACAAAGAAGGCTCAGACACAGAAACACCACCCAGTAGCAGGAAGAGAGCACGAGTCCTGTCTCTGCCTTGAGGAAGGAACTGCTCTCTTCACAGCAAGGGCTGATAGGAGGGTCCTCGACAGATGAAGAGAAACAGTTTCAGAGCTTGCACAGAAGCCAATGGCTTCGTTTTTCCAAGTGACCTCCAGCACTTAAGTGCAGGGACTGCTTCTCCTTTTCTTCCTACATTTCCTTTTTTGGAAGAACAGGGGTATTTCCCTGTATTTGCTTAACCTCCAACTTTGCAGGCATATTTTGTAATCTCCGTGATCACTGGCACTATCAATAAAATAGTCCTAGGCAAACATCTATATAGCTTTCATAATTTTTTTTAAAACATGCCATTTGCTTAAAGAACTGCGTGAGCTGTGAGAGTGTTTTTAAGAATTATGTATTCCCTGCTATGTATTTAAGGCTACAGACAAAGTTTGAAAACCCACAGAACTAAAACAGAGCAGAGAGGTATGCTTATATCATAGAATCATGGAATCATGGAATCACAGAATGGCCTGGGTTGGAAGGGACCTGAAATATCACTTAGTTTCACTTTCCACTAGACCAGGTTGTCCCAAGCCCCATCCAGCCTGGCCTTGAACACTTCCATGGATGGGGCATCCACAATTTCTCTGGGCAACTTGTTCCAGTGCCTCACCACCCTTATAGTGAAGAATTTCTTCCTCATAACTAATATAAATGTACTCTCTTTCAGTTTGAAGCCATTCCCCCTTGTCCTGTCACTACATGCTCTTATAAATAGTCCCTCTCAATCTTTCCTGTGGGCTCCATTCAGGCACTGGAAGGCTGCAATTAGATCATCACAAAGCCTTCTCTTTTCCAGGCTGAACAATCCCAATTCTCTCAGCCTTGCCTCACAGGAGAGGTGATCCATCCCTCTGATCATCTTGATGGCCTCTCCATACAGATTAATTTCCAAACATTATTATTATTATCACTACCATAACTATTATGTTGATGGGCTATTCACTTACAGTAGCTTTATTTTTAAACACCTTATAATGAAAAATGTTACTGCAAAAAATCATCTATCAACACAATACTCAGTGCTACCAGAGCTAGTAATTAGATTTGGGGATTTCAGTATAAATAATATACAGACTTAAGAATGGTCTGAAAAATCTAGATAATCCTATGTGGTTTGAACAGTGGGTTCTGTCAGGAAAAGGTAGAGCTTTTTCATCCTTTTTATCCTCTTTCAAACGGGTGTCATGGCTTTCTTTCTAAAAGACCTTGAGACAGAAGATGAAAAATCCAACATTTTACATACTAATGCACTAATGTGCTGTATTGTTGTGTCAAACATTCTATTCTCAAAGGACTACTTCACTTTTTCCTTTGAAGAACTATCTTTGCTTTCCCTCCTTTCAGAGAATGAAAGGAGGTAATATATCCTTCTATAGACAAGACTATTCCCAGAGGATCTGCTGTCATCCGAAAAAAACTAGAAGATATTAAGGCCACTCCAAATCATCTGTTTCTTCTTCTCCAGTGTCTAGGTTCACATTTATTATTATCCTGTTAAAACATTTTACTGAAAAAGTACACAAATTGTGATTGCTGCTCTCTCATATTTCTTTTGAGAGTGATGACAGCAACAGCTTTCATTTTCAGTAGGAAGCAGCTGCAAGCATTGGGGTAGTGGGTGCATTTATTTCAGTCTCTGAGAGAACTCCTGTGGGATGAGGATATGATCTTCTTGGACTGGCTGACTGACTGCCACGAAATGCATAGGTTTGTGCTACCTCAGGGAGAGAAAGCTTTTGCATGCAAGAATTTTTAACTGCAGTTCTGTTGCTTCTCTAGAACAACTGCAAATATTAAAGGCAGAAGGAACACTAAGGCTTGTAAAGAAGATAGCTTTCAATGCCATATTCAATATTTCTAAAATTTATCTTTAAAAATTTGGGTTTTTTTCCAAATAATTGCTCTCAACAATTTAATTCTTGCTCTCTGGGAAAAATAATTGAGGTTCATATTTTGGAATTTCAGAGGGAAAAAAAAAAGGAATTATTTTAATATGTACTTTCTACCACTTACTCTGATTCTTGTTGGAGAGATTCCAAACAGTAGATTCATTTAATAACCCAGATAACAGTGGTTCTTACCATACAAAATTGCCAATAGTATAGATAAGTCATAAAAAAGAAATCAAATGAAGTGCTTTGGAATAGACTAATTACACATGAGAGTCAGGAAGAAACTTGCCTTGTAGTCTGTAAGATAACAGGATTATGATTTCTTCTAATTTGATAAACCCTAAGTAGAAATGATGGCAAGAAATGAGCCAAGACATTCGACAGCATCTCCACGTGACACTTCCTCCTATCCTTTTGCAATGTTAAATGAGATAGAGGAAGCTGGGGAATATTCAATAGTCAGACACTCACTTCTTATTTTTTTAGAGTGAAATGCCACATCCTTAAAAACTGGAAAGACCCTGAAAAGATGAGAACCACATCAGTATTGTGTTATGTTGTATTACTAAGACCAAGCAGCACCTATTTTCATGGAAGATGACACATAAATTTAAGAATTTCTTCAAAATCGTACTGATTTCTTAACTATGAAAATGAGCTTAAAACAGGTATAAGTGCTTCTGCTCCTCTTTAAAGATATATCATCAGAATTCTCAATTTGTAGTCACACCACTTTATCTCAAGGAGTGATTCAAGTGATTCAATTCAGGAGTGATTTCAAGTTAAGTTTCTGGTGCTAAAACTATAATCTATGTATGTCACACTCACTTTCAAAATTATTATTGTCCATACCTATCCTTTTTCACATTTTTTTTACCAAACTTTGCTTTGAGACAGAAAAATTTCTGTATGTTAACACTGCTGATGAAGTATTTTTCACTCGAGACAGTTATTTCCACTATCCTCTACTCTTTCACTCAGTGTCCTAGGCAGAAGTTCACAGCTGTAACCTATTTATTAACACCTGAATCACACTAAAAAAACAACTATCTGACTTTTCACTCTTATCACAACTACTATTAATCTTTAGGAAATGTATTTTATTGGAGGTTACAGTTTTCCTCTTTCAGTGACTCAACTAGATCTTCTGGCACTCAACACTTTGACCATCAACTGACAGCTAAGCCAGTACTGAATTTCTTATTTGCCTTCTACAACAAAATCTATTTCCATAAGCAACTAAATCTTACATACTAAAACACTGGCTTACATTATTGTGTATTAATATGAAAATACCTTACTGTGGTATGTTCTTCTACTGCTTTTGGTTTTTTGGCATTTATATTTTGCCTCTTTGTTCTAGCTCTGGTACAGATTTCACTCTAATGATGATGGCATCCAGGTCTTCATCTTTCTACTAAATCTCTGTAACAGTTGTTTGTTATGATGAATTTTTATCACATGAAATATCATTAGAATGAAATATCTATTGTTTGAACTCAGATTTATGGTTAAAAAACAATCAATAATGATAATCAAATTCTTTCTGCAGAACTTCACTTTATAACACACAAAATAGTGCTATGATTTACACATTTGTTGGCCTCCAATTTATGGTAATTTTTTTGCTAATAATGATAATCTGATTTTATGTAAAGAAATTTATTTTATGACACAGAATACTGCCAGAGTAAGACTGCATGTTGTTGGAAGATGAGAGACAAAGTCATTGAAATGTAGACATATATTTGCATTATTTCCTGGATTGGCAATGGCTATTTCCTCTTCATGGTTTTCCCAAAGGAATTTTATCCTACCCAGAATCTTCAGTTTGAATCATTACACACAGCTTTTCCCAGCATTTCACTTCCACCCTTACTCTCTCCAATGGCTTACAGTACAATACCACATTATATTACTTGCAAACTCCCTCAGTTAGATTTTCAGTTTATATTTTAGAAATTTTAGTTACATAATCTTAAAGGTGTGTCACAAGATTGACAAGAGAATATGCAGACTTTTCAGAATGCAGATTTAGGGACTGATAACTATACATCCAACTTGTTTTTATAGCTTTTGTATTTTGGTAGGAGAACAATTACAGGCTATACAGCCTTACAGATATTATATTCATTACAAGCCAAAGGTGATATTTTTCAAACCATCTGTGGGCAAAGTAAAACTTACCTTTCCTGCTTCTCTTCCACTATAGTTCAGGATAGAACTTGTGGAAATAAAGAGCCAGCAATGCTTTGCACATATCTCTTGGAAAAGCTGAGTCACTGCTGGCAGACAACTATTTAACAGTTCAGTAACATACACCATCTTCCAAGTACTATATATGTGGCCCTGTGAACTATTATGTAACAGTTGTATTTGCTGATTTTCATAACTTGTACGACATGTCAAATGTCTATATCTATACTAGTTTTCTATGTGTGCTAAAGATTCTTCTGAAAGGCACAGGAAAAATCCATATCACAAGAGATATTTAATTCACTTAGGCATCCAGTACTTAGTGAAGGTACTTGAAAAGTGACTTCCTAAATACTTTACTAAATTTCAAGGTAATTTCAATTTACTACAGAATGGAACCTTTCCTCCAAAATTTCCCCCCTCACTGCAATACCACTTTCAAGTTCCTTAGAGGAAAAAAACATTAATCATCCGTGTTGCACTAGGAGGTGCTGGCTTATTACAATTCCAGTAAGAAAGGCTCTCAGATTAGGTAGAGTTCACTTAAAATGCTATTTATTGGAGCTAAGACTATAAAAGAAAAAAGGAAAAAAAACCAAGATAGTATCAATAACCTTCTATCCCTTCACATGCTGGGAATCCCAAGCTGTGTGGAATTGAACAGGTTTAGTATGCTGTGCAAATCTCATCCCTGGAAAGTTACTCCTTTTGGTCATTTGAGCTCTTATAGGATTTTCTTATAAGTAAAACAACTCTATACATCATTTATACTGTCATAAAAAGGACATTTACATGGCAACTTGCTTGATAAAGGCAAGGTCACACAAGTGGTGTCACCAGTGGTATCAACCAGGATCCCATTTACACCTAATTTCAGTGGGAAGCAAATTCTTTAAAGTAAATTAAATTTAAGACTAAGTTATAGGGCTGAAAAAAAAAAAAACAGTTAAATTACATACCTGTCAGCACCACTGTGTGCTCTCCACCACAAGCAACCTTATTAACTTTTTCCATAATTCCCAGTACAGGCTGTGGGACTCTATTGTTCTTCAGCTGTTCAGGCAATAATCCCAGTTTACCATTTGCAGGTTCTCCAAAAGTATAGAGCTCACCATCTCCTGTGAAAATACGGAACATGGTATGGTTTCCAGCATACACTCAGAAGCAAGGATGAGTTGTCAAGACTGCTGCAGACACAAATCACTGTCAGAAAAGTCATTACAGGATAGTTGAAAATACTTGTATAATGCCCAAACAGATGGGCAAAGCACTCTGCTTTGATGGGACATGAAGGTGCTAGGTTTTAGCTCCCTCCAAGATCAGAATCACAATATTGAGCCTGCAAGAAATGTAGCCAAGAGAAAACCAAAACCATATACATCCTGCTTCTGAGAGGTTACAATTCCCTCTGTAACCAGTATTTATGTCAACTGAAGTTGCTTGTAAGAATCTGAATTACAACAGAAAATAATTTTGAATGGAAACAAAAAATAATTTTGCATGGAATTTTGATGGAAAATCCATGCTTTCTTCTTGTAAGATATAAAGAAATCACAGTAAATGACACGAAACTGTGTGTGGTTTGGACAGTAAGAAAAGAACTGTATATCCAACCACAGAAATACGGCAGTGGTTCCATAGCAATAACTCCACCAGAATTAAGTTTAAATAACTTGTTTCTAATCTGGACGTATGGAATGATGGTATTTGTCTTCCCAAGTCACTGTTACCTGTGATGGAGCCCTGCTGTCCTGGGGATGGCTGAACACCTGCCTGCCCATGGGAAGAAGTGAATGAACTCCTTGTTTTGCTTTGCTGGCACACACCGCTATTGTTTTACCTGTTAAACTGTCTGTATCTCAACCCACAAGTGTTTTTTTTTCACTTTAACTCTTCTGATTCTCTGCCTGATCCTGTTGGTGGGGGGCAGTGAGTGAGAGCATGTGTGGTGCCTAGTTGCTGGAGTTAAACTAGGACAGTGTTTTATATGGTTTCTATATTTTCCAAGATCATGTCTGCCTCACAACAGAAAAGATTCTTCAAGTACCATGGTTCTGGGCCACTAAGGCTGGCAACTGGACTTGTTACCTTTACAGAATGTTCTAACTGCATAGGAAGGCACTCAGGGAATGAGATTAATGTGATCTTACTCAATGTCAAGCTTTCTACAAGGTTTGATGGGACTCAGGCTATTGAATAGCCACCCACAATCTATTCACAGAGATCCATTGTCTTCAGCAAGGCAATGAAACAGGATAGCAGCTGTATTTCCTAACTCTCATGATCAGAGGTGTAACTTCATCCTCCCAGTAGTCCTTATTTTTTTCTATCATTCTGACATTTTCTTTCCTGCACACACAAACTAGCCCAATAATATTATAACACTTGGGTTACCTGCATGTGTCTGTGGAGAAGTACCTTTCACAGAATCACAGAACCATAGAATGGGTAAGGTTGAGAGGGACTACAGCAGGTCATCTGCTCCAACCTCCCTGCTCAAGCAGGGTCATCCCAAAGCACATGGCACAGGATTGTGTCCAGATGGCTCTGAAATATCTCCAGTGAGGGAGACTCCACACCCTCTCTGGGCAACCTGTTCCAGTGCTCGGTCACTGCACAGCAAAGAAGTTCTTCCTCATGTTCAGGTGGAACTTCCTGGGCACCAGCTTCTGCCCACTATCTCTTGTCCTGTTGCTTGGTACCACTGAGCAGAGCCTGGTCCATCCTCTGACACCCCCCTCTAGCTACTTATAGACATTGATGAGGTCCCCTCTCAGTTGTCTCTTCTTGAGGCTTTCTTACATTCTTCTACAGTTTTTCTCTAGGAGTTGTTTTGCAGTCATTTCAATCTGTCTGTGTTTTTTAAGAATCAAAATGAACTGTGTTTAAGCTTTTCTGTTCAGTTTGATTTCCTGTTTTAATTCTGATCTTTTTTCTTATATCTATGTGCAGAAATACTCTGAACAAGCTGACACTTTGCAGTTATTTGCAGCAGCATCAATTTTCTGTTCTAAAACAGCAGCCCAATTAAAAAGAGAAAAAAACAACTGCAATGTGTGGTTTTCTGTAACCAAAGCATTCTGCTGACAAAGAGATTTTATTAGGGATTCTGAGTGAAAAAAATGGAAAAAACCCAACAACAAAAAGAACCTGTATTTTTTGAAAGGCAAATATTGTTTTAATACTCTTAGATCAGCCTTATATTTTTAGAAATGAGTTGATAAACCCCCAAAAGTGCTTGGGAGATAACTACTTATGCAGTTCTCTTTGAAGAGACCAGCAGTTCTTTTTAAACACTACTGTACTGAAAAAATTAATCCAATCACAATCTAATTAATAGGATTAGAGATTCAAATGGCCAAGCTTCCATTGACTTCCCAAACTAATCAAGTTTATTACATTTTTTCAACTTAATAATCCAGCTAACAAAGATAAAACCATTTACTAAAGCAATTTTTGAATACATTACGCATCCCTTTAAGGCAAATAGTGGTCTAAAAGCTATGAAGAATAGCAATCAAGCATAACAAGAATCCAGTCAAACCCAGATAAATTTTGAGTGCATCATGTGTGCAGTAAACCTGCCTGCTAAGGACATGATGTACTGTGTGCAGTACACCTGCATTTTAAGGACATTATGTTCACAACAGAACCTGGTTATTTGATTTTCTTCTCTCATATGAGTCACATTCTCAGGTGTTGAACTTTCCATTATGTGGCACATTTTCTGTATCACTAAACTTTAGGTCCCAGGAGCATGTCAAGGAAATGGGCAAGCAAATGGAAAATGTCTCCCAAAGGCAAATGTGCATCCTGTAGATGAGAGCAGATAGGAGACCTGGCTGGTGGCAAATGAGAATGGACAAAGAGTTGGATCACTCTATGATTCCTTGAATAAATGAGGAAGAAAAAGAAAAGAACTATTTTTTTCAAAACCAAACTGGTTAAAACCATCTCAGACACTGAAATTCAGAGTACAGAAGTGTTTGTGGGATGAATGCTCTTTAAAACCAGTCCTTAGAAATAATGACAAAATATATTAAGAAAGGAATTCATGGCAACTGCAAAGGTCTCTATGAAAAGACATATTTTCAAAGAGAATTTATCTTGACCTTGATTACAGTAAGAATTCAGGCAGGGGAAACACTAGAAGATAAAAGAATATATTCAGCTCCTTTCTGGCTCCACAAATCTAATTCTGCTGTAGACACCAGAGCAGTGGTTTAGATACATTGGCTTTTCCTGCTCTCCATCTCCTCCAGTGGACAAATGAGCTCCACGTGCTTGCCAAGCTTAATGCTTCCTGAAAAACTGTCCCCTCCTGAGTGAGTATGGTCAAAGGCACGACAAGTAAGGATCTGTGTAAGGGCTCAAAATCATTGCTACCCTCTTCCAGTTCTTTGTTTCTATGTTGCTTTGTTTGAGACATATCTCAAATACTGGGACCCAGCATCTTAAGTCTGCAAAGAGAAAGGAAACATACTGTGAAAAAGTCCTGAAGAGGGCTGGAAGCACTAAAAACTTGTTTTCAGTGGAACTCTCTAAAGAAGGCAAAGAAGAGGGAAAGAAAGCGAACAATCGTCTTTCAAACATGGACAGATTCATGATTTGCATATGGAAATGAGTATAAAATTCTAAGTTTCAGAAGTGCTTTTTTATTAAAAATACTCAGAATATATTCTGTTCTTCTATTCTACAACTACTTTGGCACCAGGGGGGTCCACGTGTACATGACAGAATCCAGGTGGCTGACATATTCAGTAGCTGAATTACTGTCTGAAAAGAAGACCTTCTAGGAAGCAGAAGTGAGAAAGGTGATAAACCTTCTTGGAACTACTAGATAAGTGAGATTGCACTGTGCTTTATGGCAGTTAAGTACTCTAAAGACAAAAGCCTACTAAAAAAATCTTTTTAAAACCACCTATTTCAAAGAAATAACAATTTTAGTTTATTAAAAAAAAAATCTGGAATCTGTACTTTACCATTTTTTTTTTTTACTCAATAGACTCTTATTAATGAACATCCTGCCCTGGAGAGGGCACTCTGTGTCCACACTATGTATTCCAATATCCTCATTAACCACTTTTTAGTTTTAACTCAGACACGTTTGTGATCCTAACAGTTATTACTTAGCTAGTGTACACCTTATGCCTAACCTAAACATATTAAGAAAGGGAACCATGTGGTGCCATGCTCATCAGTTCAGCCTGACAGCATGTATTAGGTCTTACATCCTGCAACTATGTTATGTTATTAAACATAGTATATTATTTGATGTTTAAAAGTCAAACCATAGTAATTGTATGGTATCGAGTAACTGAGAAGGAACACACTGTGTGACTATGGTACACTCAGATTAAATGCACAAAGTTTGTTAAACACTGGATACACACTGACACTACTGCAACAGAAGATCAAACCAGCAAAAGTACTTGGATGTCCAATACTAAATTTTTATGGTAGCTGAAGTATCAGTCAAATAAAACTGTCTGCAAGGGCCTAAAGGAAAGTAATAAAAAAAATTTATACTTTCACCACAAAAAGGTCATGTGTGTGTCAATAGTCAGTGAGATAGATGGAAGCCCAAATCATGCAGGATTTGCAGATATTAAGGATCAAAATTAAGATTTTCCATCTCATATTCAGGCCTGTTTAAGTAGTAACAGGTTCAACAACTCCTCATTTTCACAGGTGATAATCAGTTCATCTTCCTATTAATATTTTGAGAGGCTCAATTTTTCTTAATTAGTTGAAACCCTAAGCCTTTTTTCTCATCCTCTTTCATTAAAAAGTTTTCACTTCCTTAGAGCACTTGGCAGCACACACTGTTCTCTCTTTACTCTTAGATGCTTGTCCTCAACCCTGCTACTAAAGAGAGCTTTTGTGACATCCCACTGCAGTTTCAGAGCTTCAGTTCTTGGCTCTAAGGCAGAGATACACACCTTCTTACCACATCCTTCAAGTAAGCATCTTTTTTTCCCCATGTATTCTGAGTTTCAGAAGCTGTAGATTTCCTAATAGGTGTTGAGCTCCTCATCAGTCCTAGGCACTTAATTCATTTACTGTAATAAAGGATCTGTAATAAAAGTTGCACACTACCAGCATAACACCTAATTAATATTTGTCCACCATAGCAAGCTCTCATTCTGTTAACAGCATGTTCTCAGAGAGCAATATTATATTGTATGTGGAAAAGTAACATTTATCAAGTAACCTGAGAAAGGTATCTGATGGAATAGCTCCTGGGTACCCATTAAAAGCTTTACAATCAAAAGTATTGATCCTTTGAAATCTTTAATTACTCTGAGGGGACCAAACTGTAAAGTTTAATAATGTAAATCTATATGGCTGAGAGGACTTCATGGCTGCTCATACATAACAGCATCAATACTGGCTGATAAATTCACCCATGCTGGCATTATTTAAAAAAGAGTGAAATTTTCACTCTGGAAACAGAGAGTTGGGAGAAGAGAATTGGAAAGCAAAAGAGAGGTAGGTTGGTTTGGAGATCAGACAACAGCTCACTGCAGCATGTGCTTCTCCTCATACCATATATTGCCTGTTTAACTGACTCCAAAACTCAAAATTTAAGACATAACATCAAACTTTGACAACAACCTTGCACTGCTAGCACATGAGATTAATTTTTCCTCATAACATAGTAACTCTGTTCAATATTTATATTTCTAAAGAAGAGGGAGACTATTATTTGATCATCACAAAGAAATTAATAATCTCAAGAAAAGTTAGATATTTGAAACAATAGTATTAACCCACAATATATGTCACAACCTTCATGAAAATAAAGTGTGATAAGATACTCATTCTTTCTAATGTACATTTGCACAACAATGCAGAAAATTAACTGCAAGTTTTTCCCCCAATGTGATATAAAACTACATCGATGACTTTCTGTCACACGGCAGTTTTTAACAACTACTTTTAAAAGTAACAAATGACTTTACACAGGCAACAATTTGAAAACTACTGTCCTGTCTCCACTAACCTCTATTCCCATTCCCTTACCTGTTATCAAGGCAGAGTGATAATATCCACAGGATACAGAGGAAACAGGTTTTCCAACATCCACTCGACAAGGGACACTGACACAGGATTCATTGGCCAAGCCAATCTGACCTTCTGAATTATCACCCCACACAAAAAGCTGCCCATCCTCTAAAATGAAGACACAGATAGTTAACAGATTTAAAACAAAAACTAATAAAAAGTTAATCTACCTTCTGAAGAGTGTTTCAGAAAAAACTGTGTATGATACTACCAAATGTCATGATCCCAGGGACATTATGTTTAGCACAATGCAACAAAGTTTGAAGTAAGAAAGCATCCCTTAAGCCTTTCAAAAGTGACAGAGAACACTTATTCATCAACTGCTGTTAGACCATAAACAGCAACAGCAAAAGTACTATGTAAAAACATTCCTTCAGAAAGAGGAAGATTGAGTGTGTAATACAATTCAGTTGCCAGAAGTCAGTATGAAAATATCACAGTGAATTTAAAGCATCTTCTAATTTCTAGGTGCAAGTCACCCCTTTCTTATTCTTCCCACTTACTCATGCCTTATCTTTCAGTTCCCTTCACACCTGATTATATTGTCCAGCTTAATTTTGCTTTCCTTGAACTATCACAATACCACACCAAAAAAAGGTAGTAAACAACATGAAAACTCTCTCCTAGAAGACAAACGGTCTTGTCTCTGCATATTTCTTACCAGTGGAAAATAAGTTTTGAATAAAAAAACGTGTTACTGAGACAGTGTTAGGAAGGAAGATCATTCAAAGTTGTCTTAAAAATCTCAGGAGAACGTTAGCAATCGCCATAAAAAAGCAAGAACCAAACAAGCAGCCCAGCATTCTGAAATTACAGCCTCAATAGGTTATCCTAAACATGTACAGAAACAGCTGCTTTACACCAAAACTTTGAGAAACTGCATTATGGGGTGATATAGGACCACCATCCAATGGCTGAAAGTATTATAACTGTGTGGACTTCAACATAATAGTACAATTTTGCCACCTGAGAAATAGGTGATGGGTTTGGACTCTCTCAGAATTTTTAAGGAATGACACAGCTTTGTAGCCTGCACCAATAGACCAAAATAGTTGCTGTAAGAAGTGGAATTAGAGATGCTTAGTTTTTGCAAGATTCATGTTTTGTAGCTTCCCTGGAAATAAACTGAAGATTTTTTCCATTTTGAGGGTCTTCATACTGTTTCTCCTTTGTAAGGATTTCTAGTCCAGGTCAAGCTCCCACTGCAGGCCATGGCTCATGGAAAAGGTCTACTTTCACAAAAATTGTAGGAAGTTAGTAAGACTGCCACCCCTTACCAGACTGTTAAAATAGGCAATTGGTTGTCAAGAAATGACTATGGTTACCAATGAAAGAAGATAGGGAGGATAGAAAATACATCCACATATGGAGACAGAATGCTGGAGTGTTTCCCTGGAACACCAGGCTGGACACATGTAAGCAGATTTTATTGGCAGTTGCTCTTACCAGTTACTGCTGCTGAGGTGTATGATCCAGCTGCTAGCTGCTTGATCTTGTGCTGGCTGGTGAAAAAACTTACTAAATGAAATGTGGTCCTTTCTTCTGTGTCACCTAATCCCAGCTGACCTTCACTGTTACCTCCAGCAGCATACACATTTCCTTTTTCTGCATACAGAAAAGAACATGTAACATGCAGAATGAAGAAACTGGAGCAAGTAATTTAATTTTCAATGGAAAAACATCACAAAAGTGTTGGGTCTACTGTCCTGAATTACTCCTGAGTTGACATTAACAGTTTCTTTTGTAGCTAACAAGGAGGCCTTCCTGCACACACTTGGATCAGAACTTCCTAAAAGCCTTACATGTAGTTAGACTGTCTGTATTCCTTAATATTCTGAAGACTAACCTAATAAATAAATATAATTTAAGTTTCTGCAAGAGTTCTGAAGAAATTACCACCAGTAACCCTGGCAGCCAGAAACAGCTTCTTCCACAAATAATGTATATTTTAAGATAAAATTAAAGGAAAATGGTGAATTAAGTCACAGACAAGAAAACTGGAGCTGTATTAGTACATAAATTAAAGAGATTAATAACTTGATAGATTTGAGTACTGTGAATGAAATATATTTTTAGTTAGTTTTTTATTAGAAATATTTTACTCATTTTAATATTCAAATAACTTTCAATTTAATTAACTATGTATTTTGTTTCATAATCTTAAAATTTAAATTAGCGCTGACAACTGATATCTTCAACTTAAGAGAATTTTAAGATTTATATTTTTAATTTTAGTGTGTTTCACATCTAAAGTGCTCATCTATGATGAAACAGATAAGGCCCATTATTAACACAAATCCAGACAGAAATGTGATAAGCAACTGACATTCAATTTATAAATGGTCCTTGCTATATACCTGGCCACAAACGATCTGGCCAATGTGTACACCAAAAGTGACTAATATTTACCCTGTGCAGTCTTGCATACTCCACTGTTATTAAAATGTTCTTTCTATTCTAACAGTCTTATTTACAGTGCTCAGCATCTCCATGCATATAAAACTCCTAATAATCAAACAATCCTCTTTATAACATTGCTAAAAGCTAAAGGATTGCAACCACAAAGATGGTTATTTTGTTACATAAATTATAGAAGCACGACAAGAGTTTGCATAAATTCTCTGGATACTGTCTCTCTACAAATTTATTTTTAAGTTTAAATTTACACTTTATTTATTTATAGCTTAATAAAGCAACTTGTCATTGAAGCAGGAGACTACGTTGTCTAAACAAAAATGCAACAAAAATTGAAGACTTGAAAACATGCAGTTCTACTATATTTACTCAAATATATAACTTCACACTAATAAATATTACTTGTCAAAGGTAAATTTGGGAACAGATGTATATAAAAATAATAATATACCTTTACAGGGCTTAAATGAAATACTGACAATTGTTAACCACACCACAAGTCCCAGTAAGAAATTTTTCCCTATGTCTATTACTGGCAAACTGCTATATAACATTAGTATATAAATGCCTCAGAATTATAACTGCCTCAGAATAAATCAGACATTATAAGAATTGGATGTCAAAACCCCAAGTTTTAGCAGTCCCATTTTCATTTATTTTTCCTTCCTCAACAGTCCTGGGGCTCCTAATGTGATTTTGCTTGAAAGCAAGGGAAGAAACTTATTTTTAATATGTATACAATATAGATTACATACCTGTGTAAACTAAAGTGTGATTTCTTCCACAAACAGCAAGTTTTGGTTTTTCTGGTTTTAAAGCTATGGATTAAAGTGAAAGGGAGGGAAAAGTTATAAACAAGCCAATAGGTGTTTCAACAACAAACTGCTCTGTGTTCTAGAGGGAGCTCTGAATGGTAAAAATATTTCTTGCCTATTTGAACCTGGTATGACTTACTAAATTAGTATTCCCCCAAGATAAGAAAACAGATTAGACCTTAATAACTTAAGACACCCAAGTTAACTTGACAATGTTTACTTCAACCCAATGCCATAGTTCCTGGAATTTGCCATTTACAGGATATGTCTCAAAGAATACATCAAGTTGCAGGGTAAAATGCATGTTTAAAGTTGTCTACATTGTTCATTAACTGTTCTATTCTTAACTCCCTCTTATACTTCCCCCACTATCTTAAATCTTTAAAACCATACCGTTCTTTTGTCTTACCCTCCCTTTCTAATGCACACATCCCTTTTTTTGCTAGACTTTTACTCTGTACTGTCTTCTTACTGATCACTAAACTCAATTCCTAAGGACAGCCCTATCTGGACTAGTGCCTACATTTTTTGCATGTACCATCCTGTCTCAATTTCAGCTCAGTTACCACCCACCCGTAGCAAGTACTTCTCTGCAGTCTGGTCATTTTGAAAGACTGGGAATGTGAGAGGAGTCAAGAGTTATTTTGGTGGGAAAAAAAGAATACAGAGGTGCCTCCCACTTAGGCTAATCAATTGTATTTGATGAGATGTGCTGTATTTACAGTATTGCTGGCAATTTTTCATAACCAATTCCATTAGCCTCTAGTCAAATCCCAGGAGATATTTTCTCAGAAAATATCCAGTCACAACCATTTGGCTCCAAGAAGAAACTGAAATGTGTCCTTGTAACCCCATTCCCAAAGCCAAGTGATGACCAAAGGCTAGTGAGAAAAGCTCAAGGACTTTCTCCTGCTGCCAATTGCCAAGAGAAGAAAGATACCCCCCTTGCACTTTTTTCAATGGATGCCAGGTCTGGTTTGAATTGCTGTCATCCTCTCTTCATCTTTTATTCTCCATTGCAATTTGACAGTAAAAACAAAACTTGACACCCAATCCATTTAAGCCAAGGTAAGAATCAATCTCTCACATAGCTGACAGAAGATGTGAACCTGACAGTAGCTGCATTCTCCCTCTGAAGTGAAATAGAGACAGGAGCAAATAAAGGACAGTAGAATAAACTAAATCAGGAAGAACAGAGTTTGAACAAGCAGGATAATTTGTTTTTAACAATAAGCTGACAGATCGATCTGCTGGCAGAAAGGCTGAAGATAAACATCTAATGGTGAAAAGAAATGTGTTAATGGGATAGATCTGACCTGACATAAGTAAGGGGATAGGGAAAAGTATTGACTTAGTTTTATTTGACAAGATAAAAACAGCCAGGAAAGATCAAGAAGATCACAGTGCAATGAAAACTTATTTTAAAATACATAAAAGAATATAGGCACTTATCTTACTGCTCCATACAAATGTATTAACATTTATGCCCCCTTGGGCATTTCTTATGCTTGCTAAAAATGTAGTAGTAATTGTAGAAAGTTTCTGATAGATTTTTTCCATTTGCAAAGTTAAGACAGAAGTGACACAAAGGTTACACAATGCTGTTGGAACTCTGATTTTTAACACATGGACAACAATGCAGAGACCAATATCTAATTATTGTCTTTGCAGTAACAATGAAGATGTGGTTTGTCAGAAAAGGTTAATATTACATATAATCTGAGCCCTCAAAAATGACAGGATTCTATGTACCTGAAGTAACCTTCAGATGCAAAAGGACTCATAATCTGGAAGTGATGGAAAATCAATCAGGGATCCTTTTAAGTTACTTTATGATCTTGTGCAGTAATATGTTAGAAATGATGAGTAAAAATGGCAGAATCAGTTATTTTGGAACTGCACCTTATGAAGTACCTTTTCACAGGGGTCTCCTTTCAAAAAGACAAAAAAAAAAAATTAAACAAACCTTTAACACATGTTGGTTTGCTGACAGTGCTCTTTGATCCCAGTCCTAACTGGCCCCAGTCGTTACTGCCGAACATGTATAGTTTACCTTTCCCTGAAAGAAAAACAGACAGAACCCATACAAATGTTTGAATGCCTCATTCAAGACAAGCTGGTCATTCACACACTGTGCTATTAATTATTTACTTTTTAATGTAAGGTTTAAGATTAGGCAATTCAATACTTAAGTGTAAACAATAATTAATATCCTTGTGATTTTTCAGTTAATTGCATTGTTTAAGTAAGAAATCCCCAGCCAGGAGAAGGGACAAAAAGCAGAATGAACATCCTCTCCTTTAATTACAACACAGATAAAGTGCTCTTCAGAAAACAACGTGTTGTACTCTTGGACAGACCCTGCAGTTCAGAAACCACAGTATCTATAGGCCTCTTTATAAAACAACAGCACATTTAACTGAGCACCCACATCTTTTATTCCAAAGACAGGAATGAATAATGCAGATTTATGACCAATAGGAGCACAAATTTGTAATATTCAGCTTGATTGTTTAGGGTGGGATATTTCTTTTATTGCTAAATATTCTCCCTTAAAATGATTTACAGAGCTGCATTTCTACAGGATATAGTTTCTGATAAATATTCAGATATGTTCACAAAGTGTATTAATTTGTTACTCTGCATATAAAGAAAGAAAGCATAAATCCACCGTGCAGTCAGGGAGTTTTGTAAAGCTAAAAGCACTAGGTTACAAATCTTCAACAGAAGCAATGCTAGAATTGTCTTTCAGAAATTTGTGTGACCTGTCATTGAACTTTCAGGTTTGACCATGACAAACAATGAACTGTTGTAACTAAATAATCAGAATTTTTTGGAGGTAGTATATAAACAGATGAAAATTTTGTCATCAGACATGCAGATTAGACAGTCAAAACTGACTACTGACAATACCTTAAAATTAATGCATTTAATTTCATTTTGTAAACTATTACCTGCTGTAAAGCTGTAAAATTCCCACAGAAAGATAAAATCCTTGTTCCAACAGAAATCTTTGCAAAACAATAGAAACTAATTTGTCGAAATAAAAAACAAAACAAACAAAAACCCCAAAACAAAAATAAAACAAAAACCCCAGACAAACAAACAATCTCCCCCAAAACCACCAACAACCAAAAAAAACCCTCCTACAACTGATAAAAGGCGTTTGTTTACTTTTGATGGACTGCAGAGCTTTGTGAGTTAAGACTCCATCATAATGTTGTCACCCTAGCTATCAACAATTATCACATGATCACAAATGCACAACAGCAATTCCATATAGTAATGCCAAAATTATGTCTGTTTGTAACTTCAGTAGTGTAGGTTTCCCGTGAAGAGTCTGAATGTGATTTACAGAGATTTTGAAATATGACATTGAAATGTTTTAAATGTAACAAAAAATTCATCTTCTAACATTATTCTCTTAAGTATAACTGCAAAATTTAAAAAAAAAAACTAAAAACAAGCAAAAAAACCCCACCCCACCAACCATTAACAATAATTGCTATCTAAAGTCCCAGTCAAACAGCTAGATTTGACAATTCTTGGCACATGGGGCTATGTGTCAATATTATGTCTTTCCAAGAAAACTGGAAGGGAAGGAGGTCTGAGGTCGTCTGCACTCACGGCACTCTACTAATAGCATTTATATCACCATCTCAATTTTTATAATGCAATCACGTCAAAACACAGGCAGAGCTGCCTGTCACTGAGAGGAGACACACCTTAACAGAAAAAACTTTTATTAGCAAATGGCATCCATCCTATATTGGTATTGGTTTCTTGTATCCTTGCTTTATACTTGCTAACTGCTTTTATAAGACAGCAGTACTTCTGTGGGAGTATGATGCCAAGCTGCCCTAATTCAATTTAAGCACATTCTCTTTTATCCATGCAAAATTCAAACAGGTCATGCTTTTCATCCTATAATCTGCTGTTTCTTATACGAGTCTTTAAATTCTCAGGCATTGCTTTGTAAGTCAAGAGGCTTAATAGATGAGAGGAATTTTTTTTACATTCTTTTACAACTGAGTGACAGCCTTTTATAATTTCAGGCTTCCTACCAGTATAACAGAGAATAAAAAATCTGGGAGGGAGGTAATTCAGACATTGAATGAAAACTAAGAGGCAATACAGAGGAACCTGAGATTAGCTCCGTTGGTTAATACTTGGTGCTAATAATGCCAAAGCCACACATTCATTCCCCCTGTTTGGGCCATCCATTTAAGAGCTGGACTTGATGATCCTTGCGAGTCCTTTCCAACTCAGAATATTCTGTGATTCACAAAGCTGATTTAGTAACAGTGGTGAGAAACCTAAACAAATGCCTGTAATGAAGCAACATTTCTGGGTCTGTACAGCAAATCAGGTTTTGGAACAGATATGATGCAATCTAAACTGGCCAAGGAATATGACATAATGTTGCATGCAAAAGGCACTATTTTCATAACTGCACACTGAGATAACTCCAGTCATCACCATAGATGCACTGAAGTGAGAATTAATCCAAGAGTAGACAAAAAGGCGAGGACCATATTCCAAAACTTCGTAAATTAAGATTGCTCGGGTTTTTTTGCTTCCATTTGGGTGTTCTCATCCAGAGATTTTGGCCATCTGCCAGCTGGAATGGCTGGCACAAGACAGGTCAAGCAGAGTAAGGCTATGACTCTGAGCAGACAGGAAACAGCAGGATATAACAAAAAGGATATAACAGACTGTTTTGGTGATGAAAACTCACTTCCAACACCAGTTTCCATCTTAATCCTGATGCAAAACTGGAGTGTTTCTCCGAAGTATATATGCAGGGGCAGGTACACCAGCAGATGTCTCACCAACATCAATTCAGGGCTTTTAGGGAAGCCACAAGACACATCACTAGGAACAGAGAGACTTCAGGAGGAGAGTGTCTCCTAACCAGTACATTTCCATGAGTAGCTGCTATCACAACAGTGATTCCTGGGAACCCCATCAGTCATGTGCTCCTCGGGGTCATGAAGTGCTGCTAAAGGCACTCACTTGGCAGCTGGGAAGTACCAGCTGAAATCCCATATGTTTCATCAGAGTGGGCTGCCAAGTATTCCTATCACCTGTGTTTAAAGGTATGTGTTACATATTCCTCCCTTTGCTTTCTAAAGTATATCAGTGTGGGAGAGAAATAAGATGGGGAGACCATGAAGAGACTTTGAGCATTTACTACAAGATTCTATTGAGAAACTATATCTAAACAAAACATAAAAGGTAATATTTTGGACAGAGTCCAGAATATATGCCAGGCACCATGATTTTTTTGTGCCTTTTTTTTTTTTAAATTTTGTGGGGTTTTTTTATGCTATTTTGTGAACAAACTATGTTAACAGTTAATTTAAAATCCATATACAACTCAAATAGTTCTAAAAAAACCAGGAATGACATCATTTTTGTTAGGCAAGTCATGATATTCTCAAAATAAAAACTTTATTGAGCAACAAGAATAGTCATGCTTAGGACATTTATCATCACACAAACAAAAATAGTGCATCAACATGAATGTGCACTAATCTTTTCTCATTCTCCCCTTGCAGTTGATGCAAAAGATACTCTGCCATGTACTGGTAAGCAGAAACAGGAGAAGAAATACAGTGTCAAAAGACCTGGAGAGATTCCAAGGTCTCTTGTTGAAGGTTTAATGCCTCTCAAAATCCAAAATGATGAGTATACTATCTTCTTGTGGTTCCACATGCACCTCTTTCCACTCCTACTTTCACAATTGATACTTCTTTCTTTCCTTCTACCCTCTTGCACTGGGGCTTCAATTCTTTCCAGAGCACTGAGTTCAGAAAATGTGTCTTCGTTCATCACCATTTTCCCCCCTGTGAACAGGATCAGTCTCTGATTAAATGTGGGCAAGCTGTCTAGGATACTCTAGTCAAGGCAAATAAACAATAAGACAATTGTTAACTTTAAGAGTTCTGTCAGAAGGACAATTAATAGACAGGTATTGGAAGGAGATTCTTAAAAGTATATGTATCATCACTTCTTCACACCAGCTCCCAAGAGGCTGAATAAATTGCTTTACAAAGCCTGCAGTTATAGAAGATGCAGGGAATGAACTGTCAGTAGTCCTGGGCCAAAAAGTATAGAAACGGGGCAAGAACCACTATTAAACATGTTACAAGTGATGCTGGAATATACACTGCTCATGACTTGTGTTACAGACCTAAAGAAGACCACTGCTTTAAAAAAATTCCTGCTTGAACATTTCAATGATGTTTATGCTAATAGTAGACAGCAAATGAATAAAGAAACACAAATTTCAAACTCCAAAACCGGAGAAGGAAACGTTTCTTCAACTAACTCAGCAAGCCAGCTCAAAGCCAGCAAGTAACTATCACTGGTTCTCTCTATTCCAACATACAGCCAGAGCATGTAAATAAAATTTTGGACTCTTAACTCCTGACATAGAAAGCCAAAAACCAGAGTGCTTTATATTTAATTTCTTCATAGAAGTCAAACAGGAATATTGATGCTGTTTTAGATGAAAGGAGTATTTGAAAGGCTCTGAATATTTTGTTTGAATGCTAAATACTAGTTCTTGTACATTATATTCATTAGTATTCAGTCAAGACTCGGTGTTAGATATACCTGTCTCTCCTGCCCAAATCCAGCATTAAGGAATGTCTTGTATCAGTTTGTGTGATTGTTTTACTTATGATTGTTGAGACATGTTAGTGTCAAATTGATACATCTCTATCAGATTTGAACCTCCCTCATATTTCTATGGAATCCTACAAATATAGGTCCCACTCCCTCTTCCAAGGTGTGGAAAAAAAAGAGGGAGAATTTTGTGACCTGTAAATAAAGACTGAGAATAAAATGAAGCATGCATTAACACACACCTGCTTGAGACACTTTTCCTTCCTCGGTGATGTTTTTTATCTCTTCCAGGCCAGGTTCAGCTGAAGAAGCTCCTGGTTTCCCACAGGGCCTGTACCCTTCTCAGTAAACTCAGTACTGGCACGCACCTCTGGAGTGTTTATTCCAGGTGTTACTGCAGTTCAGTGTCAGTCACCAAGGGCTGTAATTCCATTGTATCATCCAACTCCATCTAACAGCAGAAATGTGAGGTGCACATGGGCATGCACAGGTGTGAAGAACAAATGAGGGACAATGGTTTTCTATTCCCCTTCTTCAGTTTTTTCATACGACTCTTGCCGTTTCTCTACCTTTGCTTGTCGTGGATCCATACTTTACCCTCACTTTTCCCTCTACTTTACAATGACCCAGAAAACATTTTGGTACCTAAAAAGCTTTTTACTCATGCTTCTGTAGTTCCTTCTTCTCAAAAGCTTTGAGAAAATAAGGAGCCGATTATCTAGAAGCTTCCCTGGAGATGCATCTGCTCACTACAACAGCTAAGGAGAGCTAAAGAGACATTTTTGAAACATATATTAAAATAACAGGGAAAAGGGAAGACAGTAGAGGACTGCTGCTCCATGCAAATCTACGTAAGATGACTTCTTCAAAAGCTTTATCTAAGTGGTCACTATTACAGTGATTGATTAGGGTAACAGTGTTGGCACAGGTACATGCTAGGAGGCAACTTAAATCAACTAGTTTAAACAGAAAACTATACCAGTGTTCCTTCAAACTGGGTATGGGCATATAAAAGCACATACAAAAATAAAATTCAAAAGGAAAATATCACAGTGCCCCAGCTTACATCCGGATTAATTTTATGTGACAGGAAGTTTAATATTACTGGTTCAATCCAAGAAAAAGTGTAAAATTTTGTTCAAAATAAACTATTAATGTATAATTTGTCTTCTATGAAGTTAGGCTTGAAAAATTCATTGTGAAATTTCACCTCAAGATGTCCAGCAGTCCATGAAATCTACAGTCTTTTCTATCATGCCTGGAAGAGTTCTTTCTAAAAATCCAGCATCTTCAATGCTGCTTTCAAACATTGCAAGAAACACTCAAGAAACTATTTAATAAGCAATGACCAGTTGGCTATTGATGAGGAATAACTACATTCTAATTTAAAAATTTCTGAAAATACACATATAAATTTTATAACAACAAAGTCTTACTATCTATCAGCAGTAGATTGTCAATACAATTGACACACATGCTCACCAACAGAACAGTAATCCCTTTCATGTAAAATAAGATGAAAAATTTTTTTAATCTGCACTGTCTCCACCATTTCAAAGATATTAAAATAAACATTAATAACACTCACTGTATTACATCAGAGTTTCTTTGAATGTCTTTTTCCATTTACTTATCTTTTTTGTAGGATTTTCTGAAGTTTATTGAGTTGCTCTTTCAAGGGTTATTTTCAACTAACAGTTATCAGTAATTCAAACCTTCATCTCGGAGATACAATTGTATCTCTCGTTTCAAGCAGATTTCTAGTGAATTTCTTGACGGTGTTCAGCAGATACTGTTCCTCCCATGATACAATATATCTAACAGACTAAACATTGTCAGATTCACAAGATACATTCAACCTGAACAAAGTCATACCTACTTTAAATCCTGTGATACATTCAGTTATTATAAACTCGCTTAAGACAGTTCTTGGGCATGTTTTGTGAAAACCTGGAGTAACCTCACGGGAACTCTAAAGGCATCCAACAGTTCCCACAGAACAGTCCTCTCTCCTCTCCACAAACTCATTTATTACCTCAGGATTCAAATAAGATTTCTAACTTTCAAAGCTGTCCAAATATATATCCTTTTATCACATCGATCACCCTCACTACAAGAAAGCCATTGAAGTTCTGCAGGGTGTCCAAAGAAGGACAATGAGGCTGGTGAAGGCTCTGGAGCACATGTCCTGTGAGGAGCAGCTGAGGAAGCTGGGGTTGTTTAGCCCGGAGAAAAAGCAGCTCAGGGGAGACCTTATGGCTCTCTACAACTACCTGAAAGGAGGCTGTAGCCAGGTGGGGGTCAGTCTCTTCTCCCAGGTAACAAATACCAGGATGAGAGGAAACAGCCTCTCATCCTGGTTGTGCCAGAGAAGGCACAAAATTGGATATTGGGGTAAATTGTATGCAGTGATGAAGAATATACTTATGTTTTCATGTTAACCCTGCTGAAGAGAAAAGAAATGAACCACAGAGCTCTATGGCACAAATGCCATAGAGCATATATTCTTCATCATTGCATACATTAAATTGGATATTGGGGTAAATTTCTTCACCAAAACGGTTGTCAAGCATTGGAACAGGCAGCCCATGGAAGTGGTGGAGCACTGGTTAAATGGCTGGGCTTGATGACCTAAAGGTCTTTTCCAACCTAAACAATTCTATGATTCTACATGCTCCATTTCCAATACTGACCTGTAATAATAGCGGTATGTTCATCTCCACATGATATAAGTACAGGCTTGTCATTTTTGAACCAGAACTTGCTAGGAACATCTTCTGCAAATTTGCTTCTCCCAAATGTGAAAACAGCACCTGATTCTAAAACACAAAAATACAATGTCAATTTTAGTGAAAGCAAATTTTGCCTCATATATTTTGAAATAGCTACATTCTATCAAATTAATTGAACATTTAATTTTCTGTATTTCTCTTCTTTCTTCTCTCAGCCTTCAAAACATGGGTTGGTACAAGTGTTGTTTCACCTGAACATGAGGAAGAACTTCTTAACTGTGAGGGTGACAGAGCACTGGGTCAGGGGCTGCCCAGAGAGGCTGTGGAGTCTGCATCTGCCTGGACACAATCCTGTGTCACCTCTTCCAGGTGACCCTGCTTTAGCAAGCGGGGTGGACTAAATGATCTCCAGAAGTTCCTTCCAACTCCAGCCATTCTGTGATTCTGTGATAAGACCACGATCAAAGAAAGTCTAACAAAACCACCCCAAAATAAAGTCCAGGCAGCTCTTCTGCTCTTGTAATCTGTCTGGTTTTCTTAATTCTTCTCACTTTCAAAAGTGTCAGCAATGTTGTTTCAAAACACAAAATGTTAACTATTCATTTAGCTTTTGGTTAAGCATGTGGCTTGACACAGGAAATACTAGTTCTACATAATAATGAATGGACTTACAAGTTAAATAATTTGCCAAAAGCCACACAGAAAACATGGCAAAGGACAGGTAGACCTACTATTTTAAAATGTCAAAGCCTGTAAATTTTTTGTTAACATGTAACAAATGTTAACAAATACACATAGTAACAGTAGACTGCTTCTGAAAATTACATGGAGACATCTTAATGGAATAAATTTCAATGAAAACAACCTCATCAATAAGGTACATCCCAGCTCCAAAACACAAGCGTTCTCTCTTAAACTGCAAATTTCATATCATTTAGAAGTAATTATTTTGTGCAAAAGTTTCCCCTATTTCCAAAGACATGTTATATAATGGATCAGATACAGCAGATACGTATAAATTGTATTTATTACCTCACTTGCTCAAAAAGCTTTGTGCAAGCAAACTCAACCTTTTTAAAGAAAGAGTTGAGTTATTCTTTATTTTATCTAGACACACCTACAACCACAGACATACTAAAAGTCACCTGAAAACTCTGTTTTATGTTTTAATCTCCAGCCAGACAGCCATGCAGCACATCTGAACATTTGGCATTTGTGCCATAGAGCTCTGTGGTTCATTTCTTTTCTCTTCAGCAGGGTTAACATGAAAACATAAGTATATTCTTCATCACTGCATACAAAAAGCTGTTGAACTTACAAACGTCCTTTGTATTTTGTTCATTTCATAACTAAGCCACAGCATTTCAAAACTGGACACAACTACTGTGTCCTCATTAAAATAGAGGCATCGAGGTCCTGGAGTCGGTCCAGTGGAGGGCAACAAGGATGATTGGGGGACATAAGGATCTCTCTTATGATGACAGACTGAGGGATTTGGGCCTGTTCAGCCTCGAGAAGAGATAACTGAGAGGGGACCCCATCAATGTCTATAAATAGCTAAATGGGGAGGTGTCAGAGGATGGACCAGGCTCTGCTAAGTGGTGCCAAGCAACAGGACAAGAGGTAACAGGCAGAAACTGATGCTCAGGAAGTTCCACCTGAACATGAGGAAGAACTTTGTTGCTGTGCAGTCACCGAGCACTGGAACAGGTTGCCCAGAGAAGGTGTGGAGTCTCCCTCACTGGAAATATTCCAGAACCGTCTGGACGCAATCCTGTGCCACGTGCTCTGGGATGACCCCGGTGGAGCAGGGGGTTTGGAGCAGATGTCCCTCCCAGCCTGACCCGTTCTGTGATGCTGCGAAGCCATGCGCTTGGAAACTGAACCCCCACAACTCCTAACACTAAATCCCGCAGGACATAAACGAGGCGCTCGTTGTCCCGGGCAACGGGCGAATGTTTGAACATCACCTCGGGGCAAACCACGACACAGACTAATTACTAATTCTCGGTATTAAGGGAGCCCCCCCG